CCCTCCCAAGCGGGCCCCGGGCTGGTGCTAGAGCTCCCCCACCGCAATCTATGCAGTACAACGCACCCCCGACGCAATACAACGATCCCCCAAGTGCGTACCTCGAGAAACGCGGCATGGACAGAGGCTACCAGCAACAATCGCCCTCGCGAGTGGCCCCCCCGGCGGGAGGAGGCAGGTATGCTGCGCCCAGGTGCATTCGAGGTGCGGCTGATATTCGGTGGTAGTTTCAATGTAGAAGGATCGCCGTCCAACCCGCTTGCGTTGACCAACAGGCTCGTGGTGCATCCCTCGGACTTTCGGAACGGTGAGCATGTTCTATGTAAGGGAGAATTTCCCATAACTGTAACGTGAGTCTGTCGTTCTTCGTGAATATATCATTCTTAAGTCTCGAAGCCACGACAACACCGGAAAGCTAAGACCCGGGTGTATTGGCGCGTCCGCAATGCAGCGCCAGTGGATTGGCCTCGCCGTCGCCGGAGACTCCATCCCCATCGAACCCCTGCCAACCCAGCCTAACTACCTCCAATCACTCGATGTTGAAGCAGGCTTCTTGCGCAAAACAGAGACGAGAGACGCGTACTCTGCCGACGACCTGGTCCGCAACTTCCTTAAGGCCTTCAGTGGCATGACCCTCGCCGTGGGCCAGCTGCTCATCTTCGACTACTGCGGCCAAAATCTCAAGGTCGTCGTCAAGGGCCTGTCGGTCCTGGAGCTCGCGGACCAGCAGCGCGGCGGCAGCAGGGGACGCTCGGACTACGGCCCCGACCCCCACAGCTTTGGCATTCTGATGGACAAGACCGACCTCTCGGTGATGAAAGCCAACGAATCCAACGGGCTCAACATCAAGTCCAGCGCGAAGAAAGCCCCGCCAAACGCGATCCTCGCGCCGAACTTCAAGTTCGCGGACATGGGCATAGGTGGACTCGACACGGAGTTCAGCGAGATCTTCCGTCGCGCGTTTGCCTCGCGTGTGTTTCCGCCTGGCCTCGTCGAGAAGCTCGGCATCGAGCACGTTAAAGGTCGTTTCTCTCTTTTCATTTTTTATGTGTGCTAAACGGTCGCAGGGCTGCTCCTCCACGGACCTCCTGGAACGGGAAAGACCCTGATCGCGCGTCAGATCGGCAAGATGCTCAAGGCGCGCGAGCCCAAGATCGTGAACGGGCCCGAAATCCTGAGCAAGTTCGTCGGCGCGTCCGAGGAAAACATCCGCAAGCTGTTCGAGGATGCGGAGAAGGAGGTTGGTGTCAATGTTCCTCCTCGACGCTGCTAATCGTTTTTTCAGTACAAAGAAAAGGGTGACGAGAGCGAGCTGCACATCATCATCTTCGATGAGCTCGACGCCATCTTCAAGCAGCGTGGGTCGACGAACAGCGGGACGGGTGTGGGCGACAGCGTCGTCAATCAGCTGCTGTCCAAGATGGATGGTGTCGACTCGCTCAACAACATCCTCATCATCGGCATGACCAACCGGAAGGACATGATCGACGAGGCACTCCTGCGGCCCGGCCGTCTCGAGGTGCACATGGAGATCTCGCTGCCCGACGAGAAGGGCCGCGCCCAGATCCTCAACATACACACGACCAAGATGCGTACGAACGGCGTTATGGACCCGGACGTCGACCTTGAGGAGCTCGCGAGCATGACGAAGAACTTTTCCGGGGCCGAGATCAACGGTCTCATCAAGAGCGCGACGAGTTTCGCGTTCAACCGGCATGTGAAGGTCGGGACTATGGCGGGCATCAGCGACGATGTGGAGAATCTGCGGGTCAACCGGAGCGACTTTATGCATGCGCTCGATGAGGTGCACCCTGCGTTTGGTGTGTCCGAAGAGGAGCTGCAGGCGGTCATCCAGAACGGGATCATCCGCTTCGACAGCACCGTCGACGTACGTACCTTCATCCTCCCCCCGAAATTCACACCGCTGATCTTCCGTCCAGGAACTCCTGCGTTCAGGAGAACTTATCGTCGAGCAGGTGCGGTCGTCTAAGCGTGCGCCGGTGGTCAACGTGCTTCTGCACGGCCCGCCTGGCACGGGTAAGACGGCGCTGGCAGCATCAATCGCGCAGGCGTCGCAGTTCCCCTTCATCAAGCTCATTACCCCCGACAACATGGTGGGCATGGCCGAGACGCAGAAGATCTCCGCCATCACGAAGGTATTCTCGGACAGCTATAAGAGTCCGTTGAGTGTCGTTGTCGTCGATAACATTGAGCGGCTGATTGGTTCGTCGGCTTCCTTGTTCCTAATCCGAATACTTAAGGTGTATAGACTGGTCCCCTATGGGCGCGCGCTTTTCGAATCCGGTACTGCAAGCGCTTCTGGTTCTCATTAGTCGGCGGCCACCCAAGGTTCGCTCTCTTGCGCTGTCTTGGCCCCCTCTACTCTAACCCATGTATCACGCAGGACCGTCGGCTCCTCGTCATTGCCACCACCTCGAACCGGCCCATCCTAACCGACCTCGGCTTCGCGGACTTCAACTCCGTCATGCGCGTCCCTCCCATCACCTCCCTCTCTGCGCTCAAGTACGTGCTGCAAGAGGTGGACCTCTTCCCCGCGCCCGGAGACCTCGACGGCGCGATAGAGATGCTGCGCGAGGCCGGGTTCGACAAGAAGTCGCGCGATGACCTAACATCGCGGCTGCAGATTGGGATCAAGAAGCTGCTGAGCATTATTGAGATGGCGAGGCAGGAGCCGGACGCGGTCGCGGAGCGCCTCACGACTGCGCTTATGGAGTTGGATCTTTGAGGTTGGACGGGCGTGTATTTTTATACAATGAGGAAAGCGAAGTTTTAGATGTACACCTGCACTAAGTAGTTCAAACAAATATAATGCCAGTAACGGAGAATCGGATGGGAGGCTTTTTCAGTGTTCGCCTCAACCCTGTAAATTCTGGACGAGGAGCAAGCAAGACGCGGGAATGAATATGGCAGTGCCATGAAGTTGCTCGCGGTCTTACCTTTTCGCGCTTCGCGCTCAAGGCCGACTTGAGTTTTAACTTGAGAGTCCTAATTCTCAGCCAACATTTACCCAGTGACTGTGTTCGGTGAGTCTGTTCCTATTGGAGTGAGAGCACTCGGGCACATCACCGAGGCTCGGGCATCTCGGCGAAGTTGACGACTCATTTGTGAGTCAACCAGAGTCAGTGCGCATCTCGGAGAAGAGTCAGGAATATTATGGAACATTTACTTATGACTTGTAATGACTGGAAATGACTCGTAGAATCAGTATATAAGGAGTAGTTACAGTGGGGAATTCCTCACGAGCTTGTACCACTCGCCCTCACGGGCATCGTGTAAATCTTATCTTCTATTGAACCAAACACTGCGTGAAGCAAAGGCTTGAAGTCCTTAAAGCAGAAACTCCATCACAAGCTCGTAGATTTACACGAACTATTCACCACATCTAATTTCCACTATCACACACTACACACCAGGACGAAATGTCGACCAACACAAACAGCCTTCTATCCAATGTACCCAAATTGACCCGATCCAACTACTATGATTGGAAGTTTGCCATTACTATGGTATTACGACGATCTGGATGCTGGGACATTGTGAATGGAACAGTCTCGAAGCCCTCGACCCGCGACGCTGCAGAAAAGTGGGAAATCAAATCGGAGGAAGGACTTACCTCCATCGGCTTAACAGTCGACACCGACCAATATCAGTATATCCAGGATGCCACCACAGGGGCAGCTGCCTGGGATGCATTATCCAAGGTGTATGAGAAGAACAGCAGAGGAAACAGAATTACCTTGAAGAGGCAGTTCTACGGCTTCCAACACGACCCGAGCGCACCGATCCAGGAGTATATCTCTGGAATTCTAGGCTTTGCCACAAGACTCAAGGCTATTGGAGCCAAATTGGAGGACACAGATATCATGGATGTCTTGCTCTTCAATCTTCATGCAGAATGGTCGAACATTGCCGGAACTCTATGCGCAACGACGAACGACTTGGACACCATCTCGGATATCACCGGCGCGCTACTCGACGAAGAAGGGCGACGCGGAACCCCGAGTGACAGCGGCGACCTTGCCATGCAGGCTGCAAACCAAACCGTGTGCAGTAACTGCAGGAAGCCTGGTCACAGCAAGGCCGAGTGCTGGGCCAGAGGAGGAGATCAGGAAGGACACAGGAAGTGTTACAAATGTCAGAAAGAAGGACATCTTGCATACCAATGCCCCGACAACGATGCAATCCACAATGCGAACTATGCAGCGGGATTTTGAAAGACACCTTCGTTGACAATCTGGATTTGAGTAGAAGAAAGCAGAATGAGACGAAGAAGACTCCCGAAGGAACCCGGGCGTGAACGAGACGAAGAAGACTCCCGAATGAACTCGGGCGTGAATTATGATGAAGAAGACTTCCGAGAGAACTTGGATGTGAAGCAGAATTGACACGGATCTAGAATGACCTAACCTCAACCATCCAAACGAAACAGAGGGAGGTGTGAATCATTTATTCGGTGATGAGCACCGATTGAGAGGGAGTATTGGAGTGAGAGCACTCGGGCACATCACCGAGGCTCGGGCATCTCGGCGAAGTTGACGACTCATTTGTGAGTCAACCAGAGTCAGTGCGCATCTCGGAGAAGAGTCAGGAATATTATGGAACATTTACTTATGACTTGTAATGACTGGAAATGACTCGTAGAATCAGTATATAAGGAGTAGTTACAGTGGGGAATTCCTCACGAGCTTGTACCACTCGCCCTCACGGGCATCGTGTAAATCTTATCTTCTTCAAGTTGAACCAAACACTGCGTGAAGCAAAGGCTTGAAGTCCTTAAAGCAGAAACTCCATCAGTTCCAACGCCCATGCATCGTCTCTGACTGGCCGGCAGTATTCCTAAATACCCAGAAAGTAATATGGCTGGTGTGCCAGACTTGCAAGCAGTTGCAAGCGCGCATGGTCGTTGCAAATCAGGCTAAATCAGTGTGCAGAAGGAGCTGTCGCCAGACTGAAATTCCCACAGGCTATGTGTCTGCAATGCCCCCGTTGTCTAATGGCTATGACGTCAGACTTCTACCTATCTAGGCTAGATTCTGATCTGGAGGTTGCGGGTTCGAGTCCCGCCGGGGGTTTTGCAAGGCTGAAACTTCTTTTTTGGCGCCGAGGACGCACATCTCTGCTTTACATAAAAAAAGAAAGAAGGCTTGCTTGCACTGCACTGTTGTATTGCAGTCAACACTCCGAGTCCCTGCCATGTCGAGCAACAGATAATCAGGTTTTCGTGTCCTCCCGCTTCTTCCTGGCCAATTTCCGTTCAACCAAGGCAACATATTGTGCCATGCCCTTCTCCATCAGCTTCAGCTTTCCTCCCCCGACGCGATAAGTCTTTCCAGGCGAGGTCGTGTCGTCGTCGTCCTCACTAGAGGAATCATCCGACGCGTCTTTGTTTGGTGAAGCATGCCGCGATTCACCCTCAATCACGACGCGGCTGAACCACCTGCACATGCGAATGAGAATCGAAGTAACGAGGGAGGGAAGGGCCTACCGGTCGTGCGTGATTATGATTATAGCACCCGTAAATGTCTTCAACGCTTGCGCGAGTGCTGAAATGGTGGGAAAGTCGACATGAGTGGTGACTTCGTCGAGCAGGAGTAATGGCGGCGGGATGAACACGATGAGGGCTATAGCGAGCCGAACCTGTTCTCCACGATTAAATAGGCAGCCTTTGATCAAGATATAGATCACCTTTTGCCCGCCACTCAGCTGCACAAGCGGTGTATCGCTCGCGATTTTGCCCTGGAGTCCAAACGATCCGAGGCACTTGCGGGCATCCTGCTCGACGACAGTCTCGCCCTTGGCCTCGAAGTGCTCCATGAAATATGAGAGCGCCGTCTTTGTTTGAGCCAGGGGACCCGAAAGACTCTCCACGGCGTGTTGGTCAAAGTAACCGATTTTGAGCAACGGATGTCGAACGATGTTGCCTTTCGTCGGCTTGAGCTTGCCCATGACGAGTTTCGCAATCGTCGATTTGCCGTGCCCGTTGGCGCCGACAAACGCACACCGGCCGCCTTGGTTAATGGTGAACGTGATGTCCTCCAGGAACGGCGTCTTGGCCTTGGGGAACCGGTACTCGACCGCATCGAAGTGTATCAGGTCCCCGAGCGTGCGCAGTTTCTCCGGGCTCTCGATATTGATCTTGATTTTGCCCTCGGTGACCATCTTCTCGACGTCGGCACGGTTCGTGAGGTGGTAGCCCTCCATGTCGCGATTGAGTTTGAAGCGTGTGCCTTTTGCGCTAGTCTCTACTCCAAACCGTTCATCCAGTCTGTAGTCGTGTCAGTGTTAGACTGACGGATAGAGAGTAACCAACTTCTTCTGGCGCGATTTAACCATCCGTTGTCTGCAGTACAAGATGAGAAGGCGACGCGCGAGAACGACACAACGTGCCTGTTTTCATCGCCAGTTTTCTTGGCGCTGGCAATGCCCTGCTGGATGGACTTTTCGATCTGTCTGGAGAGTCAGAAGAGATCGTGAATCGAAGACACCAACGCACATGTCCTCGTTTCTTATCCATAGCCTCTTGCGTACTCGCCAGTTGTTTGCTCTTTTTACGTTCATTGACCTCAAACGCGGCGGGTGTGCCTTCAAAATACTCGAGGCTCTTATTTCGAAGGATGATCGTCTCTTCGACAACATTATTCAGAAAGTCTTGGTCGTGCGAGATGAGCACGAGTGTACGCGATTGGGTGCTGAGGAAGCCTTCGAGCCAGATTATTGCTTCGAGATCCTATCCGTACTGGATAAATTACAATCGTCGAAAGGGAATGGGGTAATGCACAAACCAAAAAATTGGACGGTTCGTCGAGAAGCAGAACATCGCTGTGGACCAGCAGCGAGGTGGCAAGCGAGCAGCGGGACCTCCATCCACCGGAAAGGGACGTAAACGGCCCTTCGATCATTTCCTGGGTGAAGCCCAATCCAGCCAGTATACTGGCAGCACGCGCTTCCGTAGATGATGTTTCAAGCTTTGGTTCCAAAAAAGTCAGGGTCGGAACAGCGAGGAAAGCATCAGAGCATACTAGTTCAAGTGTGACCTGGACATTTTGAAGCATCTCCAGAGCCTGGTTCATGATATCAGATTCGACATCTGCTGTATCGACCGTTTCGAGTCTTGAGGCAGTGTTAGTTGTTAGCGATAAAAAAAAACAGAGTAGCGCACAAGATTTCAGCTTGTTTGAGATTCTCCTCTGCCTTGATTTCCTCCAATCGCGCGTCTTTACCACGCGTCCCGGATCTTCGGCTTGCAATTTTCCTGGCCTCTTGCAGCTCACGGCGACGCGCATCGAGCCGCAACCCGTAGACGATACGCTGAGTGTCCCGGAGAGACGTGGCTTCCGTGGCCTTTGTCAGAGCTAATCACCAAGCTTATTTTTGCCATAACAAACACGGACTCGGATATACATGCCTTCAAACTCGTCCACAGCAGCCTGTCTTTCCTTGTCGCCTTTGACTACGTGTTTGAGAACGTTGACTGACGCAACACCCGGCGCATCAGTAGCTCTCGCGCTGTCCTCCACTTGGGACAGCAGAAGAATCCGCATCGACGGATTCAAGCCCGGAATGAGCTTGTCTGCAATCGCCGTCAAGAGTGTCGATTTGCCAGACCCGTTGCGGCCAACTAGCCCGTATCGAACGCCTTGTTTGAAACGGAGATGGCTGGACGAAATGAGTTCCCGCTCTCCGATGGCAATAGTAACGCCTTTGAGATCGATCTCGAGGCTGGTAAGTAGTGTCTCGGTGTGAAAGCGAGATTGCTGGGAGGTCGCGGTGATGAGATTCACGTTCTTCGGGATTGCCTTAGCTTTGGGGGCCATGGTGGTGAAGAGCGAGAGCAGTAAGTCATACGGGACCGAGTGCAATTGGTTTAAGGCCAAGTGCCATTGAAGATAAGATAAGATCTTTGTCGCACAGCCACACAGGTGCCAACCTTGCAGCGCGCCTAATCTTCCTCTTGTTGCTTGCTTGTTGCTCAAATTTTGAACGAGATCAGTCATAATGCTCATTGAGTCTAGCAGTGCCCTCAATTGAGGAATTCACACAGAGCTTCAGGCGCGGAATCTGACTCGTCGTTTCGCGGAAGGACTCGCTTGGCACCATAACGATAGTCTCGTTAACCAGACTTTCTATCGCACAAAAGAAGACAGTCGTTCTTTTGTGCCTATATAAACCATAACGATACGCTCGATACCAAACGTTTATCACCCCACGGGCCTTGGCGGATTTATGCCAGCATGTAAATGTGCAAAATCTTGGGTCAGACTACAATCGTGTTCGTACCAGGATAACCGATGTGTATTTGCAGCCCGTCCTCCATCGACCCACACAAGACACCAAACCAGATTGCGACAGGCGTGCCCTCAAGCGACGACTACGCTGGACATCCCAGCGCGTCTTCCAACCGCAGTGCAGAAACTAGACTGACCCTGAATCCGTCCTCCAACGCGCCATTGGACCTTGATGCAGCTGGCAGAACATTCCCCTGCGGACAAAAAGTGAGACTACTGCGCAACCACGGGATAAGGACATAGCTCAGGGCGTCTAGCGCGATCCCGGGTACAGCGACGAGGTCCGCACGGATCATGGATCCTGGATAAAATACGTAGGTCAACAACAAATTAGCATACAAATAATACACTGCATCTAAGCTACTGAAACACCGTTCAGCTTGCCCAATTGGTTGTGAGCATCCCACGGGTATGGTTCGGCCTCCTCATTTGGCGGTCGCCGTCGAGGATCGGCGGCAGGGGTGGCCTGCCCAAATGCCTCCATGGATCCAACATCTGCTCCAGCCGCGGGCGAGGGCATATCGGTGTCCTGCTCGCCCTTGTCGTCCTCCATATCTACATCGTCCTCATCCTCGCCCTCGCTCTCCGAGACGGGATCCATATCCATAGCCTCCTCGACCGTCATCTCGGTCATCTCAGCGTCAACACCGTCAATAGAATTCGGGGTATCAACTGTGGAAGGCGTCGCCTGCGCGGTCGACGAAGCCGGTGGTCGGTGTTTATGACCCGACTTTTCCATTTTCCTGACAACCTTCGCGATGTATTCCTTGGTCGGTACAAGTCAGGCCAACAACATACAGGAAGGAAAGTGGTTCCGCGTTACCTTGGAGAATTTCTTAATCTTGGCGACCTTCTCGTCGGAGAGCGCCTCGAGTTTGTTATCTTTGTAGCTCGACGACTTTTTCTCCTTGTCAGCGATCAGCTGAGTCAGCTGCGAGCGCGAGGATTTAGCGAGATGCAAGAGAAGCTTTGAGATCGTTCAATACCTCTTTTGCGTTCTTCTTGAAGATTTCCCGTTCCAAGGATTTGCCGTACTTGGACATGCACTTGACGACGACGGCGCCGACCAGCTTCAGCAACCGCTTGTCCTTGTGCGCTTCCTTTTCTTCTGCCGTTTGCGCCTTTTTATGAGGCCGATGCTTCCGTTTGTGTTCCCGAGACGGACCAGCCTTCTTCGCAGCCTCAGCAGCAGCGACCGCAGCGGCGGCTTCGGCGGCAGCAGCATCCTCCGCGGCCTTCTGGGCAACAGCAGCAGCGATGACTGCAGCTACTTCGGCCGGGGTCGGGATTGTGGGGCGACGAATTACTTCGGGAGGCGGGGTCGGCTTTTCTTCCATTGCCGGTGGCGTATACAGATATCGGCTGGAGTGTCCAACGGGCGCACCCCCAGGTCGCATCCGATACACCGTGCTGGCTTCATAGTCGGGGGATAAACGCCGGCGCTTGAGTATAGAGGAGCCGCGGTGAGGTGGGGTACGGTCGTAACTACGGTCATAACTACGATCGTAACTGCGGTCGTAGCTGCCGTCGTAAGCACGGTCAGTCTTGTATGTGTTCAGTACAGCGGGTAGCTCGTCGTCGCTGTCCTCTTCTTCCTTCTGAAGACTTTGTCAGGTCAAAGCGAGTCACCAGTGCAATATACATACCGGGACAATAACGCGCTTCGGTATCCGATAAGTGAGCGGGAGAGCGAGCCAACGGTCGTGAAGCTACAAAGTCTGACTCAGAAGGATGACCATTTAGATGTTTAGAGGACTGACCTCTTGTGCCGAGGATTTGAGCTGTTC